CATTCTATTTTATTATATCATCCTTATTCTCCAACATCCTTGACATGACCAAAGCTCTAACACTTTCAAGCAATGACACAATAGACAACTCTTTAGCATCAAGAATGAGTGAATTGAAACATTCACATACATTTTTTAGCAAAGTGTCACATTTGAGTATGAAGTTAAAATGTGATCTTGACCTTTCACTTGGAGGCTTCTCATTTAACCATGTGAATGTTGCTACTTCTAATTTCTCCAACTATGTCTCTTTGGATGTGAGAAAATTGAGGGGAGGTCGGTAGGGGTGAAATCGTGAGACAATATCCCCTTCCATTGTAAAAGAGAAGCAAATTGTCTCGAGAGTTGTGCCACCCATGAAGAACGTGGGGGAAGAGAGAAGGAGAGAGACGAACATAATCTTCGAGAATTATGGTAATGCTTAGTTTCAATTTATGATAATAAAAATAATATCATACTAACCCTATTTATTGGAATAAGGTTTATAATTTTAAATACTAACAAATTCAAATTCAAAACCAATCATGTTATCTACATCAAATTTGAAGCATGCTTATTCAAATGATAATTCCTACTTAATTTAAATAAAAAGAAACTTAAACAAAGAAATACATCTAAGTTCTTGAACAAATATGATTGGGGTTCAATCTAGACTAGAATCTTATCACGAGTCTGAGTTTTTCCATGTGTTACATTAGAATGATGGCCATCTTATACCTTCCAAAAGAATAATAAAAATTGTCCTTGCTCTGGGTAGTAAAGCATCAGTAACTTAGTACAACTTTTGAAATGTTGCTGCCTGTTTAAACACATATTGTGATTCGCATACCTACAACACTGCAAGAAGCTTTAATGCTTGTGGCCTTACAGGAGGGCCTTAACAATAAGATGTTGAATATTCTACTATGTGTCTTCTATCAATTTTTCTTATTATTTGGTAGATTTCTAATGCCATTCAAACAAAATGATGTGGTTCTCATATCTTCACGCATGCTTGACAAGTTTAACATGCTTATAATGATTAGAAATTGTAGCATAACTAGTCTTGGCTTTGTTTGAGATGAAGAATACATGCTGGTTTGTGTAACCATTCTCCTTGAAAGTTGAGCTTTCTTAATCCTTATGGATTGGGAACTATGTTCTTTTATGAATTGGCAAGACATATTTTTATTAGCTATTTTTCTTCTAGTGGGCATCGCCAATATTGTTCACATCTATATATTTCCAGCCAAGCCATATGAGTTAATGGGTGATCGATTGCCTGGAATAGTTCTTGGAGATTATGCTTCTATGGATTGCCCATTCGACCCTGACGAGGTAAGAGATAGTGTGCGACCTACTAAGCTGAGGATTCCTCAGCCACCTGATGTTGATTTTAAGAGTGGAATGAACATAAAAAAAAGTGTATGAGATGTATTTCTTGGTGGTGGAGAATATGTAAGCTCTCTCTACCTACCTATGTGTGTCATTCACACATGTTTACTTCATTGATCCTTTTCAAGCTGAAAGGATTTATTCATGCAGCAGTATGCAGTTAATGGTGAAAGTCTTATTAGTTTAATGCGCTCAGTTAGAATCACTTGTGATAATTTACTCTAGGTGAACTGTTTTGAAAAAAAAAGGAAGAAATTTTAGTGGTAACCATCAATCCCCTTCTGAGTGAAGAAGCTCTGAACATCATTCTTGTTACTCCCATGTACATAATCACTATTTCTATTTCATCCAGTTGCAATATACTTATATGCTTGATAAACAGATTTAATTATAAGGTATTTAAAACCAGTATCAATTTCCTTTTTCTCTTTTTTTTCCGTTAGCTAAAACTTCTTGATTTGGTTTTTTGTATAGATTGTGAATGATTTGAAGTTCACAGTCACACGCAGTGGAACCAATGAAAAAGGGTCTCACTCGATTTAATGAGAAGCTTCACAAGATATCTCAGAATATAAAGAAGCAGGAGAAGGATAGAAGGAGAATCAAGGATGACAGTGTCATAGGTTCCTCATCACCTTCTAGGAGAGTTATTCGTGGTATAGATGATCCACTTCTGAACGGTACTGTAAGCAACAGCAGTGTTTTCAGGGGAAGAAGGCACTGTAGAAAGTCTGTTTATAACAGTGCTGACAGTGGTGGAGAACACAATAGTGATCATAGTTTTGGTGGATATGAAATCCGTGGTTGCAGATGGATTACAAAGGATTGAAATTTTCCCATGTTAATTTTTTTGGCCTACTCATGAGAACATCAACGAACTCTTATTAAGTCCCTATATGTATGCCAATTTCTTATAGGAACATTCCCTTAGAAAATATTTTATATGGAATGCTTCAATGATTGTCATGTCATATGTTCTTTACAAGTTTCTATCTTGGATAGACTTATCCAAAGTGTTGATGTGACAGTAATTGTGGGGAATTTCCTATATAAACAACAAACATTTCCTTAATAGGATTTGGGAGTTTTGTTCAGTGGCAAAGTCATTGTTGATCACCCTGTACTATTTGAATTCCATAGAAAATTGTTATTTAATAGAAAATACCTCATTTTTTACTTGTAAATGATTTTTTTAAATTAATATTTTATAATACAATCCCTTACATCGACAACCGAAACATCGACAACCGAAAACAATTCAATTCCATACATAATATCATTTTGTTTAGGGTGACTTGTTACCTACTCAAGATACAATGTGCCACTAGTTTTTGTAGAACTTTTTTTAACACTATAGCATCTCTCTCTCTCTCTCTCTCTCTCTCTCTCTCTCTCTCTCTCTCTCTCTTGTGTCTGTATTGTAGCAGCTTCACAGCAGAAATTGGAAACCTGAGGCTGAGGAACTTCAATGTTGATCTGAGATCAGACTTCATTTTGATCAGATCTGAGATTTTTCTTTCTTTTGATTCTATGTAGCAGTACTATACCATTAGTGGTATTAAAGAGGGCTTTGAAGGAGTCAGTCATCTTCATTAGTGGTAATATGCTTTCAATAAGGCTTTAGCTTGAAAATTGGTGACAAACCAGGTATGTTAAACTTGTGGGGATTCCTTTTAGTAAGAAAAATATAAATGTATTATTTTTATGCTCAACTTTCTTTTTCTATAATAAATTTATATTTTCAAATAATGTAAACTATACTATGACTGCTAAAAGAGTAAATAAATAAATTTGTATTTTTTTATTTGCTCTTTTAGCAGTCATAATATACTTGACATTATTTAAAAATACAAATTTATTATAGGAAAAGAAAGCTGAGCATAAAAATAATAAATTTATATGCCATTGGCCGTTATTTTTGTTTTTTTAAGGAATTTGATACCTTTTAATGGTAGCTAGCTTGAGTAAGTTTTAACTAGTTTATGATCTTATAATAACAAACTTATGTTCGACAGCTTGAGTAAAATTTGAATTGGTATGCTATTGAAAATAACATGTAAATTGCATAAACTCTTGGAAATAAACAGTACATAATCAAATTGATTATCCAAAACAATATTATTTTTTTTCTTACTGTTTATAATCTCATTGCAATGCCTTTTGACACTTTTTTCCCATAATAATCATAACAGGAAATTCATTTTAAATATTAGGAACAAAAATTAGTAATTCGTCAATCATTTATATAGCTTTCTTACTATTAAAAATAATTTTTCAATATATTTTTTTAAGTTATAATTTTTATACTGAAAAATTATTTTATAAAATAGTATGAAAACTATCACAAACAAAGACTTGTTAGGCTTTGTTTGGAACGGATTTCTTAATTCTTTCAAAAAAACAACTTTTTAGTGTAAGATTTTCTTCAGTAAATAAATTTCTTTTAAAAATATTAAAAAAACTCAAATCTTTTCATTTTAATCTATTAAATTTTCCACACCTCTTCTAAAGCAACAATGCGAACAGTAGTAATGCAGGATAGAAACGGTTGTGCATTAAGAATAGTTTTCCTTTTTTATCTCTTCAGCTTCCACTATCACTTCTTCCAGATAAGAAGTTAGCAGGTGTAAAAAAAAAGAAATAAATCAATAAACAAAAATTAATGTGAAGGTTGCTAAAACTGAAAAAAAAAAAAAAAAAAAATTAAAGATGACTGATCATTAATATTTATTTTGTTTTTGAAAACTCAAAAACATAAAATCAAAATTAAATAATAATTCAATAATTATTTCATTTCGAGAAATCAAAATAAAAATTTAAAAAGAACAATTGTGAATAATCCATGACATATATAACGGAATATTAAAAGAAAAATATATTTATATATAAAGTTGAGTACATCGAGTGATACATAAATAAAATTGAGTACTTCAAATATTACAAACTGATTAATGCTGAGATTGCATTAAAAAATTCGGATATCAAACAAATAAGATAAGTACGTGCGTAAAAACAAGTTTGCTTAGGTAGGAATATAGATTTCAGGAATGTGAGCAATGTTGTGCCGATCGGAGCCTCCATCCTCTCCATAGCGCTCCTTTAACTCTGGATGACATCTCCAAATTGTTAGACGTTTCAAAGAGAGAGGAAGGTTCGGTAATTCCCGAAGCATAGGAACGTCATTAATATATAGTTCCTTAAGTGAAGATAAGCTTTCCAAGGAGGAAGGGAGAGACTCTAAGGATTTGAGATCTGAAAATTTCAGATCAGAAAGAGAAGACCTAACTTTTAGAAACCACTGCTCCTCATTTGAAAATGAAACCACCTCATCATTATCTGTAACACACAGCCATTTTAAGGAGGCGATACTTCTCAATGGCTCCATTAGCAACACTGATGGATCACTTATACAGAGATAGTCGAGTATGAGATGGAAATTATTGTTAAGGAAGTTATTTATATTACTTTGTATATTGTACCAATGATCAACTTACACGTGTACTCTACTAACACTAGAATAGATTATATATAGGCTTCAGCCGCTTGTATGAAGGAAGGAAAAATAATAATAAAAGTTCAAGTTCTGTCTTCTTCCTTCTCGGTCTTTCACTGCTGTTCAAGAAGTATTAACTTCTACAATTATTAGTCGTCTCCACTTCTCGATATCTTCCCAGAGAGATCAGATTGGGGCACTCTGTAATTATCAAGTATCTTAGTGCTGCAAGTCTTGCTATTTCATCAGCCAGAGGAAGAGATGTAATGTTTGGACAGCAAATGACATTTACAATGAAAAGGGGAATAGGATTTGAATTGCTACAAAAATTCAAAGTCGTCCATCCAATTTTATATATGTGCAAGCTGTTGAGCTTAGGAGGCAAAGAGTGCAACTCTTTCAACTTCGGACAGTCAACTAGAGTCAGTTCAATTAAGCAAGGAAACAAACAGCCATCTTCAGCAGCTACTCCTGCCTCAAACCAATCCTCTAATACTGCTAATCTGCGAATACATAAATCCTCTAGCAATGGAAAGGCATGGTATTTATCATTCCCATTAAATTTACTTTCGAGCCATTTTACTTTCGGCATGTTTTCAAGTGTCAGTGACTTGAGGAAGGGAAGTTGTCCAAAAGGTGGAAGAGTTTCACACTCCAAGCAATCTGTCAAATTGATTTTCTCTAGATTGGAGATAAGATTGACGTTGTTCATCCATATAGCAGGCCTTGCACCCATGTATCTATGTATCTCCAGATTCCTTAGACAATTTGGTGGCTGGATGTTGTCTAGCACATTCTCATCTAAATCTGTGTTCCTCGAAGCAATGCAACTCCAATTTAAGGATAAATCTATGAGCCTCCTCTTGGCATATAATTTGGCACTACAAGCCTCCTCAGCATCCTTAACATTTTCAAGGCAATTGATTCCTAATTTGCAAAGATCATTCATGTTCTCCAGCTCTTTAATTCTATAACCACTCGCCTCTCTAAGATCAAACATGTTCACTTTTTGAAGAAACTTTAACTTCCCAATCCCACATATCGATGAAATACAATTTTTGGGCAATTTCACGTAACGCAAGTTAGAAAGGTTATTAATGTCACTTGGTAAAAAATCAGCATCTTTCTCTTGCCCATCATGGATTATGTATTGCAAGTGATAGAGATTACTTACAGATCTTTGCAGCATAGTCAAATTCTCACCATCAATCTTTAAGTATCGAAGATGTATCAAATTTTCAATCTCCTCAGGTATTATTTTCAATTCTTTTGGAAACTCTATATATAATAAGCGTAGGCTTCTCAACTTGAATATTTCACTAAGTGCACAGATATCCTGATTAGAAGCATCACATAACAAGAAAAGAGAATGCAAATATTTAAACTGCCCAATCTTTTTTATGATGTCTGTATTTTCAACTTGAACAGACAAGTGTCGAAGAGTCTTAGGAATTGGAGAAGGCAAATTTGTACTATCCTCAACTCTTAAGCATTCATGCATGGAAACAAATTGTGCTAATTCATGTATTAAATCATGCATCTTATAGTAATAACGTCCAAAAATATCTTCAAACTTGTCAAAGAAATTTTTTTTAACCAAAACATCAAAATACCTTCCTCCGATATCCTCCAGAATCTCTCCTTGAACATGAGAAGGTTGAATGAAACCTGATGCAATCCACTGTCGGACTAAAGTACCTTTATGAAATTGATAATCTTGTGGGAATATGGAAGAGAATGTAAAGCAACTTTTTAGATGTTCTGGGAGGTGTATATAGCTCAATTTTAAGATGGGCATGATATAATTTTGACCCAATTTTATTATTTCAAGGACAGAATCTAAAACTCTTATCCAATGTCCTTCATCCAAATTAGAATTCAGATCACCGCCTATGACCTTTGCTGCTAAAGGAGACCCTGAAAGCTTTTTAACTATCTCTGCAGTAATTGATTTTAATTTTAATTTTCTCTGATCATCAAGATCGTCTTCAGCAAACGCATGGGTGTTGAGGAGCTCCAAACATTCTTCCTCCTTTAAGCCTTCTAATTTCATTGGTTTTTGTTTGTCTTGAATCACTTTTTGAAACATCAGTGCGACTGATTCCGTCCTAGTTGTTACCAGAATCTTACTACCAAAACTTCCAGAAGCTAGAGGGGCGAGCACATTACCCCATTTACTTTTATCCCGTTCCTCCTCTTCCCAAACGTCATCAAGGACCAGTAAGAACCTTTTGAACATAATCTCAGTCCGAAGATAATCTTGAAGTGCCTCAAGTGTCTCCAAACGGGCAAATTATTGGGTCAGGTGACCGGAGCCAAAAG